TGGGGAAGAACAAACAATATTACATATTGTATTAGAGGTGAATAAACTATCATAATCTTCAACACTCCCCCTCAAGGTGGAGTGTGTATGTAATTTTATTTCCAGGTTTTGGATTTATTATTTTTTATATGTATGCTATTATTGTAACCCCTAATGTAGCCATTGGAGAGGGGATGAGGTAACCGTATGATGAGACAGAATCTTTGAACAAGAATTAGAAAATACTTCGTATAAAAGAAAGTGACTGCTGGGGGAAATTAGAAAATATACATATTGAACAAGAAAGAAAGTGAGATCGCTGGAGGACGAAGATGAATGTGTCAAATTTATGAATAAATATTCATCAATAAATGAACATGAGGCAACACTCGTATATGAAGAGATAAAATATTACTCTTCTCGCTTGGTTTTCTTACGCATATGTGCGCATATATATAGTACAGGAAATAGGAGATGTGGTTCATGTATGATAGGGGAGAGAGAACCATTATGCATTGCCCATACATGCAAATAATTCTACGTTGGGAAGTGTAAACAATATTACATATTATATTAGAGGTGAATAAACTATCACAATCTTCAACAGAATGCGAAAACACCATCAGCCTCCGATATGAGCAAATTTTACATCCCTCAGTGGCTAGCCGTAGACTTTGGGCTGATGGTGGAACAATCTGTCCCAATGTTTCTGTTTTTTGGTTTGAGGGTCTATGAGGTGATTGCTTCTAAAAGAGACAGGAGGTGCTACTTCTTGCAGCGCCTTTGGAGTATCATCGTGTTCGAGAGAAATCTCACAGCAGGGGTGATCCTACATTTCAATAGATTACCCCCAACAACCCACCATAAATAGACACTGGCGGTGCAGGGTTATTGTTCACAGGCCCCCTCCCCCCTCCCCATCTCCGCCCTCCTAATTTATTATAAATATACCTGTCAGGGCCCTCATCAAAATAACATTTCCCATTATTCTCACATGGTATCAGAGCCTAGAAAAATCCCCTATTGATCTTGCTATCAAAGAAAAAGGACACGATGTTTCGCACTTCCGCCTCCAAAAGTCTCGGATGAAGAATCTTAGGCGGAAAATTATCATGAAACAAAGAAATAGTATCAAAAACAAATTCATATTCGGGACCTAGGCCTTGAAGAGTACATTGAAGCAACTCCTTATTTGAGACAGGGGAATTGATGGTAGCTAAAGCATCAACTAAAATTTTAATATCCCTCAAATAATGCTCCATAGACGGATTTTCCTTCTTTTTAGTATTATTCAACGGATGCTTAAGTTCCATTGACCTGGCTAAACTGGCAGACATAAATCTAGTCTGTAATTTATCCCAAATACCAGCAAAGTGCTTAACATCACGTACATCAATCAAAACATCATGGTGAAGTGTAGCAAACAGCCAAGAATGGATTGTTTGATCCACTCGTAGCCAGTGATGATACTCCGTATTTATAGTTTAAAATGGCGTGAGGCCGTGGCTGAGGAATTTAATGCTTTTATTACTAATCATGCTAGGTATTTGGTACCGTTTGATAATTATAAAAATATTGTGGGGTCTAAGTGGATTTTTAAAGCAAAATTCCATTCTGATGGGTCTATTGAACGACATAAGGCTCGTCTAGTTGCTCAGGGCTTTAATCAGCAGGCTGGTGTAGATTTTTCTGAGACTTTTAGTCCTGTCATTAAACCCACCACTGTTTGTGTTGTTCTTACCTTAGCTATTTCTTTTGGATGGCTTATGTGTCAGTTAGATGTGAAAATGCTTTTCTTCATGGTCATCTTCCTAATCATATGTGTCGCTTGCGCAGAGCCATTTATGGTCTCAAGCAAGCTTCAAGAGCATGGTTTCACAAGTTTCGTAGTTTCTTATTAAGTCATTATTTTTCTTGCAGTAAGTCTGATAACTCCTTGTTTATTTTTTTTTTATTTTTTTTTAGGGAAAAGTGAATTTTATTGAATAAAAATAAAATGAAAAGTACAATGCAAAAAAGAAAGAGGAATAAGGGAGAAAAAAAACATTACAGAGAAAGAAAAGCCTGAATAATTGTGTTATTTATTTACTATTATATGTGGATGACATTATTATTACTGGTAATTTCTCCTCTGTTGTCACCTCTTTTATTCATTTAATTGCCTGACATTTTGCAATGAAAGATATGGGTGATCTTCACTATTTTCTAGGAGTTGATGCGCGACGCACTACTTCTAAAGGTCTCTTTTTGTCTCAAATAAATATGTTTCTGACCTTATGTCTCGTTTTCACTTACACACTCTCAAATATGTTTGTACTTCTCTTGCCACTCGCACTACTCTGTCTCTCACTAATGGTGACCTTTTGGCAGATGCCACTGAGTACCGTAGTATGGTTGGTGCATTGCAGTGTTTAACTTTGACACGACCTGATATAATTATGTTGTGTATTTAGTGTCTCAATTTATGCATGCCCCCCCTCGTACTACTCACTTATTTGCAGTCAAAAGGATTTTTAGATATTTGTAGGGCACCCTTGATCATGGTTTGTGGATATGTCCCTCTACACAAGCCACGTGTGCCATTGCTTATTCAGACGCTGATTGGGCTGGGTGTCCAAATACCTCATGTTATGTTCCACCACTGGGTTTGGAGTATTTTTAGTTCCGAATCTTGTCTCTTGGACTATTTTTCGTTCTATTCTCTATGAGCTTGACATCCCAGTTCGAGTACATGTTCAGCTTTTTTGTGACAATATTTATGCTTCCTATTTGACTGCTAATCCTGTTCAGCATGCACGGAGCAGGCATATTCAGATTGACTACCATTTTGTTCGAGAACGTGTGACTCATGGAGATTTGGTTGTGAAGTATATTCCTACTCACTTACAGATGGCTGATATTTTTTAATAAAAGTTTATCTAGTCAGCAAATTCATTTTTTAAAAGACAACATGCGCGTTGTATCCCCTTTTTGTGGATGTGTAATAGTTTATCTATATTAGGAATCTTATGTATTTTGGAAGCTCCTAATTTATTACAAATATATCTGTCAGGGCCCTCATCAAGGTAACCTTTCCCATTATTCTCACAATCTCCACCGCCCTCTCCATCCCCATCTCCGCCTCCCTCTCCACCGCTACATGTGCGCGGTATGTTTCTTGTAAAATGGTTTGTTTATGGTTTTTATTTTGGTAGATTCTATGGTACCCGTAAGGTTCCATACCTTGGTCCACATGGACCAATGAGAATGTTGCAGTTGAATTATTTAAATCTAAATTAAAAATGATATAATGATGTGGACCAATCAAGTGAATGATAGGTACGGTATCCCATCTTTTAAATGGCTACCGGAGTTGTCACCTTTTATTTTATGGGTTTCTTGTAAAATGGTTTATATATGGTTTTTATCATATGAGTTTCCTATAAAATTAGTTTCCTTTAAATAACAGGTAACATATAACAACGGGTTACACATCCAGACCTTTTAGGTGCATTCCATATGTTATGATAATCAAAGTCAGTTTTGTTATGGTTTCACACCAACTTGTTGTTTAGCCTATTATTTCACACCAACCGTTTGTTCTTGAGTTGAGGTGCGAAAGTAATTGTTTGAACACACGTCAAGTACAACATATTAAACTAACATACGAAGTATAAGATAAGAATTTGGGCTATCGTAACTGGATTCAGTTGATTACCTAGTCCAACTCAAGATCCTAAACATTGATGTCTCAATAATCTTTCTCTGTGGATTATTATTCTTGAATGAAATCAAACATCATTACACTTGCAGTGGCAGGCCGGGTTGGTAAATAGGCTGCAGAGAGATGAAGTAGTTGCAGGATGGAAGAAGGTGAAGGGAGAGGATGATACTGAGATGACAAAAGCATCTCAAGAGTGGTAGAAAGTAGAAACCAGCTGAAGTTGAGCCCGCGAAAGAGAAATTTCAAGAGCCACAGCCAGAGGAAGTGGAGCTCTCTGGGGAGATCAAAGAGCGAAAGGCCGAAGTTCAGAGGGAGAAAGAGGCTGGGAATGCGTCGTATAAGAAGGATTTTGAAACTGCAATTCAACACTACAGTAATGCCATTGAGCTTGATGATGAGGACATTTCTTTTCTTACTAACAGGGCTGTTGTGTATTTAAAGATGGCAAAGTATGAAGGGGTGTTTGGATCTGATTCTTTGTTAAAGCATTTATCTCACACCGGAAAGCTATAAAACAATTAAACACTATATAAGGCTTTGGGCTACTCCTCCTATCAGGTTGACCTTTTAGGATGGAACTTCGGGTCTTAACATGGTATCAGAGTTAATTCCGGTTGTGGTTTGACGTCTTGTTTAGCACCCATGATTAAGGGTAACTTGTTAAGGGTTTGTTTGGTCCGTTTATACACCCCGATATTGTCCAGCCCGGTTCGGGCTGAGGGGGAGTGTTAAAGCATTTGTCCCACAACGGAAAGCTATAAAACAATTAAACATTATACTCCCTCCGTCCCAATTTGTTTTGCAAAGTCAACAATTTTTTGTCAATCAATAATAAAAGTCAACCCTCCGTATGGATAACTAATTCAATTTTTAATAATTAAAATTTACATATTCAAAAACTACATTAAAATCTCTTCAATTTTGTAAACTCCAAATTAGAACATAATTAAAAATTGACATCCTAGTTAAGTGAACAAAACGAGACCATTTGACTAAGAAAAGTCAAATTTGCAACTCTTTTTGAGACGTAGGTAGTACAAGGCTTTGGGCTACTCCTCCTATCAGGTTGACCTTTTAGGATGGAACTCTGGGTCTTAACATTCTTAAAACTGCTTCTGCTCCCTGAGAGAGCAGAAGCTGGAGTGTTTGAGTGAAAGTGCAGAAGTGATTCTGATGCTCTTTTTTACTCTAGAATCAGTTTTTTTAGAAGCTGAGGATGACCAACTTCTGAAAACTGATTCTGATTCTATTTCTGTTTTAAAAAAGAAGGAGAAGCAGAATCAGTTCCAAACATCCTCGAAGACTGCATTAAAGATTGTGACAAAGTTGTTGAAAGGGGAAGAGAGATCAGGTCTGACTTCAAGATGATTGCAAGGGCTTTGACAAGGAAGGGTACTGCCATGACAAAAATGGCGAAATGCTCAAAGGACCATGACCCTGCAATTGAAACATTCCAGAAAGCTCTTACTGAACATCGAAACCCAGAGACACTGAAGAAACTTAATGATGCTGAGAAAGCAAAAAAGGAACTAGAGCAACAAGAGTATTTTGATCCACAATTAGCTGATGAAGAGCGTGAGAAAGGTAACCAATTCTTCAAAGAGCAGAAGTACCCAGATACTACACCTTCTGCAAAGAACTCCCAGTGGTAAGTCTTACATTTTTTATTACTGCAAAGAACTCCCAAATATTAGTGAATGTTAGAGATGCATGCGATATAATCATCCTACATAATTGTACTACTTTGAAAGAATCACAATTTCCCCCTCAAAGTGCTATTTCATCGTAGCCGCACATTTGCCGATTAGATCTTACGGAACAAAATCGATAGGTTTCTCATTTTCGCCAGATAATGCTTTAAAGTGCAGATTACATAGCACGTCAATTCAATCGAACTTGCGAATACAGGTTTACAAATTACAATTCAATATTACGGAGTATATTTTTTAAATACAGTACGACCAGATTTCTTTGATGCATATATATATATATATATACGGAAAAGATCCTGTCCAGCCGGAGGGACAGGATCCTCCGTCCGGCCGCCGCCGTTTAGGGCGGTTCCCGGTGGAGTTTTTTGATGAAATTTTTATGGAATGTTTCTCATCAAGTCTAGTTTATCCACAAAAAAATTCAGCTAAAAATTCGATCGGGAAGGCAGTCAAATAATTTTTTGAAACATAACTGCGTTTTATATGTTTAAGTTGGAGCAATTATCTTCAAAAAATTATTTGACTACCTTCCCGATCGAATTTTTAGCTGAAATTTTTTGTGGATAAACTAGACTTGATGAGGAACATTCCATAAAAATTTCATCAAAAAACTCCACCGGGAACCGCCCCAAAAGGCGGCGGCCGGACGCAAGATCCTGTCCCTCCGGCTGGACAGGATCATTCCTCTATATATATATATATATATATATATAGGGGTGAGATCACATACTAACCATTCCTCCCATGCTAACCTACAAACTATCAAAAACGGTGCATCTTTACATTATTTGTACTGCATATTGAAGTTCAAAGTGTTGCATATTATTTGTACTGCATATTAAAGTTCAAAGTTTTGCATATTGTTTTTATTGCATATTGAAATTCACAGTGTGCATCTTTACATTATTTGTACTGCATATTGAAGTTCAATGTGTTGCATATTATTGAGTTAGTAAGTTAGTATTTTAAGCATGGTTAGTATGTGATCTCTTATCTATATATATATATATATATATATATATATATATATATATTGTCGTTGCATAGTTTGTGAAAGGAACATGTAGCCTGTAGCTAAAAGTCAATTTTCCCTTATTTATTTCGAAGTTCAATTTTTTTTTTAATTGCAAGACCATGCAAGCTTAGCCTATGGAAAACCATTTTCCAAAAGCATAAGGGCAATTAGGCATACCTCTTCCTTATTTCCCCACCCATCATAGGCAATAATATAGCTATTTGTACTTTAGCGCCAACAGGAATCAAACAAAATGAAGACATGGATCTCTCAAAAACATTGGTCTTAATCTTACATATACTATATCTTAGAAGAGCAGAGAAAGACAACTTATATACGGAGTACCTTGTAATGTAGAACTACCATAATCATAATCATAATCATATGCATATTTTTTCATTTTTTTGTTGGATACTAAATTTATCATAAGAAAACGTGTATGGCTCTTTGATGTCATTTTTTGTATGTTAAAAAGGGTGAATTTCAGAATAAGTATTCCCTAGATGGCCAAAACCATAAGCTGAGTTTCCCAATACCTATTTCAACATCGTCATTTTGTTTTGCAGTTGAGAGGAGCTCTTCTGTCAAAGCAATAACCTGGATTCGCAGAAAATTAGAATGGTCCAATTTAAGCAAGAAAGTATTGGCATCACATAAAAGTAAATCAGTAATATCTTTATGTGTATCATTTGGGTTGTGGTTGAAATTTGAGAATAATAAAGTGAAATGTTGTGAACCGCATATTTCTTTTCACAAAGGGAAATGTGACATTTATTATGGAACAACCTAAAAAAGAAAGTAAGACAAGTAAAATGGGACAGAAGATGTATTTTTTAAGGATTACCCTAAGTTTTTGTTATTTCATGTAGTATATTGAAATATATCTAGACTTAGAGACTTGTAGTACATGCTAGTAAACATTGGAAATACAGGTAGATCTTGCTAATGTTAGGCAAATCCAAGGTGAGGTCAATCCTTTGGGTGAAGCTGAAAAGATTGTTGAGGCCACTAAACAAGCCCTCAACCCAAATATTGCACAGGCTGCCATTATTTATTATCAGTCTAAGAGTCTACCAGCAAATCGACATATTAAGGAACTCTAGTAAGTTTTTATTATTGTCCAATTTGAATTGTGGCCCCATATTTGTCTACTCCAAAGTTAGGAATATTAGTGCCGTCATTATTTCATATTTGACATGAATTTATTTATAAATGGTTTATTTTAAAATTGAAATCTTACGAGGAAATGAACTAAAATAAGTAAGAAAGTTAAATTTGTTTAAAGTTTTATTTATTTACTCATTTAATACTTCGTATGTAATCGTAGTACAATGATGATCATGAAACTAAACGTGACAATAAAAATAGCCTCAATATATCTCTAATATCATGGCTAATAGATCAAAAGACAAACAACTACCATCGTTTTGAATCTCAATAACTATTCAAAAATGTTTGGTTTTGTCTAATTGTCTATATACAAACAAAATTCAATACTACGTATGAATTATCTGTATACATATGATCTTAAGATAAATAAAAATTTATTAATCTAAATATATTATGGGATACAGAGTATGATACATTACAGAAATGTGTTTAACATAAAATAGAAAAGATGGCTTTAACAAAAAGTCACACTAATGATTTATTAAATTAATAGAAGTGCAGTTTTTTATGATACAAAACAAAAGAGAAAGTTTCCGAAATAGGACTAAAACAGTTTCAAAATTCCAAAATAGGGCTATCATGTTTTTTATTTCCAAAATAGGAGTAATTACTGTCAAGTTTGGAAAGTCATGTCATGTTTGAAGTCTGGTATTATCAAAACATGACAGTAATTAGTCATATTTTGAAAATAAAAACTTGATAGTCCAATTTTTCAAATCTTTTTAGTTTCATATTATTCTCAAAACAAAATCACCCTAAATTACATAGAAAGCCTGACCGTATCTCTTTTATGAAAACTAGCAACCCCAAATCCCCAATTCTTTTATTACTAGAGTAAAAAATAAAAAAGTGGAAATAATACGGAGGACAAAATTCAAAATTGTCCTGAATACGGAGAAATATTGGCGCGCCAATATAGGGGTTGTGCGGAGATCGTCCGTTCTTAAACAAGTCCCAAATAACATTGGATTGATCAGTTTCTTCGGTGAAGCAATCCATCAGTTTCCCTAACAATCCATGGCAAAGAGGCTGTTCATCGGCGAATCTCAGGTTTATAATTACTTTCTTTGAGATCGGTTCTTCACTAATAAAAAACCAAGAACTAAATCTCAGTTGCCGTTGATTGTTGTTATTATCGTTTTTGCATTTATTCAATCGAAACAACCCTACAGCAGAAGCAGTTGTCTAGAAGATGGTTTATTGCTTGAATTGATTCCCTTAACGAGCACTACATTTTTTGGTCAGGGTGACAGAAGCTGTCAAGCTGTTAATCCTGGAGACGGTGAAGGCACGAGTGCTGCTGATCTAGGTAATCAATTCTAAATAGATAGCATTAATGGTTGGTTGATGGCCGGTTATTTACTACAATTTTCATAAATAAATATTAATCTTGTTGTGTGTGGTGGTTACTTTGAGCTATCAGTGGGCACCAACTGGCTGAAGGAGGGTGTTAATGAAGATGTATTGTTGGAGATACTAGCTAGGCTACCAAATAGTCGAAATGCGGTTCAAGCAGGGCTGGTTTGTCACCTTTGGCATTCCGTCATCTCTCACAAGCAGTTTATTCCCAGGTTCATTGGCCTCCGGGAGCAAAAGAAGAAAGAGCAGCCCTATTCCATCATATTCCGCATAGTAGATGTTTTTAAGCATGTTGGAGATGAGTATTATCAGCCCATCTGCAAACTCTTTTCGGAGGAATCCGTGGTTCTCCACGGGGGAGAGGCGGTGACATCATTCAAAACCTATCCTCCTTCAGGCAGCAGTGGTGGCATCCAGCCTCCTTCACCCAACATGGTCATAAGAGCATCTTGCTGCGACTTGCTGCTTTTGTCGCAGGGTGCACGCGTCTATAAGGATAAGCCAAACTCCTACTATCTATGTAACCCAGTAACCAAACAGTGGTTCCATCTCCCCCATGTTTATTTCAATATACTCTTGATTGGGTTTGCAGTAGTACGCATGCCGTCCCCCCATAACAGCTATGGCAGTTACGAATACAAGGTGGCTTTCATTCATTATCCTACAGCTTCCACAGATGAGGAATTTGATGGGGACATTTGGAAGTTAAGAATGGCAATTTATTGTTCAAAATCAAGAAAATGGAGTCGTGATTCATGGTTTCGATATCCTGTACCTACTACCACTAGGAAACCTAGGTTTTTCATTAACCCAATCACTTGTAATGGAACTATTTATTGGTTGAATTGCGATGACGTTCCTGACTACATCATTGCCTGTGATTTGGCGAATAACCCACACTCTACTGCCTTTGTCAACCTTCCTGAAGGCTCTATACCTAGTGGTAGGGGTGTTGTTTCACTAGAGTTGGGCGCTGTCCTGGGGGAACTGAGATTATTCAATGTATTCCGCCCGTCTTCGGTTGACCAGCAGCAGTCTTGGCATCTCGTTGTTGTGAAAGTTTGGGAGTTGAATCACAGAACCAATTCGTGGACTCTTGTTCATGACACACGCTTCAATGATAGGCCGCCGCTGCCTAATGACGTCCAAGTAGAAGAAGAAAACGAGCTCAACATCCGTACGGTTGCTTTCCATCCACACGACGGGGATGTGGTCTTCTTGGTATGCGGCTGTGGTGTTTTCCGGTATCACATTTCACTGGGTGTCTATGAGCAAGTCAACGAGCTCCCCGCTTCCGTGCCCCCAAGTCATCGTCTTACGTCCTTCACTCTCCTCCACTCTCATTGGCCTGCCACCATGTTGCTCTCTCGTTCGAAATAGAATAGTTATTGTTATTGCTATATTTGACTCGCTGTTAATGTGTTAGCGCACACATACTACGCATAGTATTGTGAAAGAGTGATGAACATTATTGGTTTGGGAGTGTAATCTTGACCATGAGGGTTGTCAGCATTTCTCCTACATTTTTCAGTTTTGTACCCTTTGTCCTTACACTTGATTGTTCCCCACTTGATAGTTCCCCCGCTCCTTTTTTCTTGTTCTCAATCTTTCATTTGCTTAGTTGTAACTAGGGAAGCACAGAAACTCTCCATGGCTCACGTTTCCACGTTTCGGAAACTCGGAAGCGTTTCGGAAACTTGGAAACTTCACATTCCTGTTTCGGGGCCGTTTCCGTAATTAAGAAAAATTTGGAAACCCTTTTCACTACGTTTCGGAAACCTCAGATTCCAATTTTTTTTCTTTTTCAAAAGATTTTGTGGTGGAAAATAATTTTTTATAGTGAATTTTTGTGGTATTTCTCAGCGGCAACACTTGTTACATTTCGTAACGCAATGTATTGCTAGAAATGTATTACTCCGTACATTTTATGTTTAATTATGTTCTAATATGAAATAATATCTAAATTCGAACATGTAGAGTGATTTTATTATTTGGTTACTAAACAAATTATATTAAAAAAACATGTGCATATGGAAAAAGTTGTGTACATATATTAAAAAATATTTATAAATATATCCTTATATTTTATAATATTTACGCGTTTCACCCACGTTTCGTGTCCTATATTTTTTAGAAATTACGTTTCTCCCGTTTCCCGTTTCTCGTTTCACGTTTCCCGTTTCCCGTTTCCCGTTTCCGTGCTACTTAGGTTGTAACCAATGTTGAAAATATCTCTATCGATAGTATATTTGATACTTCATTTTTTAATAATATCACTTTATAATATCGCTATCACAAAAAAAGAATATTATGTATTAAATGTGTCGGAAGTAAATGCCAACTTTTTTTATTCCAAGTATAATTGTATAAAGGATCTACTTCTTGTATTTAACATATGCATTTTGAAGTAATATTTTACTTTTAGTTTTATATGTTCAGTCCTTTTTTTAGTCTAACTAATATTACGTCTAAGTAATACGAAGTATATATGTAGTTCCTTGCTCTGTTGCTTTGTGAGGTTTACTTTCAAATGATCCTTTAGCAGCTCCATGTTTATGTGTTTTTTTGTCCTTGTGCAAGATTCGATTCCAATAAAAGAAAAGGGACAAACAAAGACATCTGAAGTGATATAACTTAATAAAAGGAAACAGACCAAATGAATAAATTCCAAGTATAGCTGTATAAGGACCTTGGATGTGAGGTTATCAATAGTCAACTTTGCATCTTCTATATATCATGTACATGATAAAGCATAATGCATGAGTTGATGACATATTTCAAAATAACAAGAGGATAACGAACAAGACAGGACAATGCATAGAATTTGTAACATACTAACATGTGAAATAGCTCTAGTTGTCCGATTGAGCTTTAAATGTCTCGGAAATAAACCTCAAACTTTTAACTCCATGTATAATTGTATGAAGGATTTACTTCTTATACATAACTTATGCATTTTGGTTAAATGACTGGTGCATTTTAACTTTGGACATGTTTCTGTGTATTTTTTCTGCATGATTTTCCTGCATAATTGTATACATCTTTCTGCATTTTAGTAAAGTTTAGTTGTGGTATTCAAAGGGAAGCCTTGGCACACCGTTTACAGTGTTGTTATGTGACCAAGAACCGGACTGAGTACGAAAACCTCATTGTATGAGAGGAGGACATGGAGGAAGAGAATGAAAGAAGGGTAATTGAGCTTTTCTTCATTGAAGAGGAATCTAGCAGTAGAGATGACCTTTCCATTTCCATGTGCATGTTAAGATAGAGTGTCATGCTTGAATTCCAAGTGTCTTGGTCACCCAATCACAGTATGTGGCCCTGGGGGAAAGAGACTATCGATTAAATATGACCTTTTAACACAAACCTCCCCAGATTGTCGCACTGGAAAATGCATACCTTTGGTCTGATGTGCAGTCTTGGTGCATAAATGTTCCAGACTGGGACAGAGGCAGGACCGGTGGGGTTTATCACTTCGAACCACACTGCTTTCATGGCTGGAGGCCATAACCTATTCCTAAAATAGGTAGCAGACTGACCGTTACCCGTCCCAACAACTGTTTTTTTTACTCTAATGTTTTGGTTCCCATTGCCCAAAACTGGCCTGAGAATTGGACTAGGACTGCCTGGGTAGACTAGACCCGGAACTGGACCACGTATATCCTATTACTCTCACAGTTCCATCTGCTTAATGACCCAAAACCAATTGGTTTGGAGCTACACCAGCTCAAGTTCATCCATACACGCATTTGCATCTTGCTCCATTGTTGATGGTGGTTGCTACTTCAGCATCATGTTTCACTTTGTTATTTGACTGAGGTTCATGTGGATACACCAAATCTCGTTACTAAGTCGTTTATAAGAGCATCTTTGATACTTGCCATGTGCATTGAATTTCAGTTCAAAAGAAAACCAACCCTTTGTAGTTATTTTATCCTTTTCGTTTTTATGCCCAAACCATAAGATGCATCAGCAAGCACTGTTCCCAATACCTATTTCAACATCGTCATTTTGTTTTGCAGTGGAGAGGAGCTCTTCTGTCAAGGCAATAACCTGGATTCTCCGAAAATTAGAATAGTCCAATTTAAGCAAGAAAGTATGGGCATCACATAAAAGTAAACCAGTAAAATCTTTATGAAAGTTAGACTTAGATTCTCAGAGGACGTTTGAAATCACAGGACAGATGCAGGCTAGCCATCATGACATTGCAGACCTACAATGGAATGAAGGACCTTATGGTTCTCGTGGTCCAAAATCTTACAATATCACCACTTTCCATTTCCTTGTGAGTGATTCACTCTAACTAAATAAAACCTCACCTTTTCAAACTGAAGAGTAAAACTATGTTTCCTCAGTCATTGGCATTCCTTAATTCCTTCACACTGCTTGTTTCGCGGCAATATAATATTTGTGTGTGAGAGAGAGAAAGAAAGATATACATGGGTTTTTTAAGGATTACCTATCTAAGGTTTTGTTAATTCATGTACATGGGTATATTGATATAGGCTAAAGGGTCAAATAGGTACATGAACTGACTTAAAGTGTTCAATTAGCCCCTTATATAGGAGGTTCTGCCCGTCCGTCGCCAATGGGGGCGGTTCCCGGTGGAATTTTTTGATGAATTTTTTTGAGCATCTTCTTCATTAAGTCTAGTTTACCCATACCCAATTTCAGCTAAAAATTCAACCGGGAAGGCAGTCAAATGATTTTTTGAAGATAACTGCGCAGTTAAACAACGCATTACATTTTGGAAAATCATTTGATTGCCTTCCCAATTTAATTTTTAGCTGAAATTTGGTATGGGTAAACTAGACTTGATGAAGAAGATGCTCAAAAAATTTCATCAAAAAATTCCACCGGGAACCGCCTGAATTGGCGACGGCCGGGCAGAACCTCCTATATAAGGGGCTAATTGAACACTTTAAGTTAGTTCATGTACCTATTTGACCCTTTAGCCTATTGATATATATCTAGACTTAGAGACCTGTAGGACATGCTAGTAAACATTGGAAATGCAGGTAGATCCCGCTAATATTAGGCTAATCCAAGGCGAGGTCAATCCTTTGGATGAAGCTGAAAATATTGCTGAGGCCACTAAACAGGCCCTGAAGCGAAAGATTGCATAGGCTGCCATTATTGATTGCCAGTCTAAGAGTCTTCTAGCAAAGCTCCATATTGATCCTAATGACCAGGATTTATACTCTATGGCTTCATTTGGCAAATAGCTTACCAATCAATTTTTAGCTTCTATGATTACAATTAATGATTTTGACCATCTAAATAGTTATAATTATTATTTGATAAATGAGTGATTGGCTTAACTTATTGGACTCAAAAAGCTTGAGGTGCAGCGTTTAGGTTTGGCAGGTAGACATTCTTCTGTTTCTCCCCTCCATATTTCACACATCTTATTTGAATCATGCATTGGCCTCCATCATATGCTTCCTTCATCATATACTTCTACAATAGTCTCCTTCAACCCCTCCTTCAACCCACCTTTTCTCTTGTTTAGCATCTGTAAATTCTTCTTTTTCTCTATTTATTTGTCTTTATGTAGAACTAAAATTTGAAGTAGAAAAATTTGAAATAAGAGTTGTGTGACAGATTGGAAAACATTCAAAAATGGAAAATCAGTCAAGGAAGGAAATATTAATCTGATTACAGTAGTATTTACGTGAGATAGTAGTTGGGTTTGAGATCATTTCTTAATTGTTCCAGATCAATTGTTCCAGATCAATTGTTCATTTCCTGCTTTAATATCTCAGCCTCAAAGGGAAGCATCCGATTTTTAATTAGTTTGTAGAATATGAGCTGTTGAGTTTTTTTGTATGCTCTTTAATTCTTCAAATCTGCTCTATAACTCCTTAGTTCTTTTTTTCTTTCTTTTGATTAATATTCTATGTGATATCCCCTCCTTTACTTTTTACTTATTAAACAATTAAAAAAGTGGCAGACGGCCGATTATCATTCCTCTATGTAAAGCATACAAATAGGTTAAGGGTCGTGTCAATTTTTTGAAAATCCTTTTAATTTGATTAAAAGTTATAGTGCTTTTTTAGCTTGATAATCTTTCTCTATTACTTCATCAGATTCACTTATGAAACTTTAACTCATTATTTAGAACTCTACAAATAAGCAGTCTGACTTCCCTTTAGTTTAACTTATTATGGTGAGAGGAAAACTGCTCACAGAAAACAAAATCACCAATGTTTTGTTTAGAAAAACCTTTTTTGGTGTATTATGGCACCTGTTTGTTTGCCTTATACTCCTATTTGTCAACTTTCTTTGTTCCCTTTTCTAGATATTATGTAAAAAAATGCAATTTATTTCCTTTTGGGCTAGGATTTGCGAATACTAAGACTATAAGTAGTGAAAAAATGCAGCCTTTTCAGTATAATACATAATGGAGATCAATGTGGGTTTTTCAGGTTTAAAGTTTTTCTCTTCATGAGTGTAATACACAATGCATTTTTTTCTCGAGAACAACTTATATATCATGTTTTTTTAAAGAAAGAAAGGTCATGTTTTAGTCTAACTAATTGCCCACATTCTGCTCTAACTTTCATTTAAACTCAAATGATCTAA